TTAATTCATCCACACAGTGGGCTGGCTGTTGCTAGGATAACACAAAATGGCATGGGTTAAGGTCTAACTGGAGCATACCTTTCAGGTGGTTTGAATCCACCAGTGCTTGCATGCCAGAAAGGTGGGCAGTCTCCTACCAAGAGATTTACAGCCTTGGGAACCTACTATAAGGTCAGTTATGAGTCAGTTCCAACTTCATGGCAATGAGAGCAGTGGCCAGTCGTCCTTGTTAGCAGGGGTTAAGTAAGCCCTCAATTCACGACAACTCGCATGCAACAGAAGAAACTGGTGTCATGTTCTGTACCATCTCCATAATTGATTATAAATGAGACTACTGGATCCGGCGACATTTCATTGACTACTTGTAGAAGTAGATTTCCAGGCTTTTCCTCCTAGTCTACCTTCATTTGGAAGCTCTGCTGAATCCTGTCTAGCAACATAGTAAAATACAACTATGCATTAACAGATGAATGTTGGTTGCAATAACGAAGTATTAGCTTGTAATTGAACCTGAATCTTCCATAGAGAAGGCAATAATGTTACCAAAGAATCACTATTGCCTTCCAATATACTGTAATTATAACCTATAAATCTGTTTATAATTTTGTTTGAGGGGATTTAAGTTGTCATTTGAGGATATAGGACTATACTGTACTGAATACATTATGATATCATCTCATCTGCTTTGAGCACACCGTCAAGAGGGACTAGTCCTTGAAAAGAGACATCATGCTGGAAATAGTAGAGGATCGGTGGTAGAGGAGAAGACCCTCAACAAAATGAGTAGACATGGTGAGTGTGCCAATGGGCTTGTGCATGTCAGAGATCATGACACGGGTACAGGGTAGGAAAAGTTTCCAAGCTTTTGTTCATAGAATTGCTGTGAATTACAGTCCACTCAATAGCACCTAACATTAGCAAGACATATAGGGAAAGGTAGGTGCGTCTATCCCACCTGAATTTCAGAACCATTTTAGGAACAGGTTTGAGGCTTTGAACACTAATGAGCGAAGGCCAGATGAGTTGTGAGAGAATATCAAGGGTATTACCCAGGAAGAGTGCAAATGGTCATTGCAAAGACAGAAGAGGAAAAAAAGACCAAAATGGATGTCAGAACATACTCTGAAAATTGTACTGGAGCACAGAGAAGCCAAAGCACAGGGAAGAATTCAAGATACTAAAGAGTTGAATAGAAGATTTCAAAAGGCAACACGGGATGACAAAGCAAAGTATTACAATGAAATGTGCAAGGAGTTGGAGTCAGAAAATCAAAAGGGCCGAACTCACTCAGCATATCTTAAGCTCAAGGAACTGAAGAACAAATTCAAACCTCAAGTTGCTATAATCAAGGATGCTTTCGGCAGAATGTTAAATGATCCCGGAAGTATTAAAAGAAGATGGAAGGAATATACTGAGTCACTGTATCGAAAGGAATTAGAAGACACAGAAGAATTTCATGAAACAACATATGAGCAAGAGCCTATGGTGATGAAAGAAGAAGTTCAGGCTGCTTTGAAGGAAATGGCAAAAAATAAGGCTCTTGGAATAGATGGTATACCAATTGACGTATTTCAGTTAACAGATGCTGCCCTGGATGTGCTCACCAAGTTGTGCCAAGAAATCTGGAGAACGACCACTTGGCCAACTGACTGGAAGAGATCGATATTTGTTCCCATTCCAAAGAAAGGTGACCCAACTGAGTGTGGAAACTACAGAACAATTTCACTGATTTCACATGCAAGCAAGATTTTACTGACGATTATCCAAAAATGACTGGAACAGCACATCAACAGAGAACTACCAGAAGTCCAGGCTGAGTTAGAAGGGGTCATGGTACTAGAGATATTGTAGCTGATGTTAGATGGATCTTGGCTGAAAGCAGGGAATACCAGAGGAATGTCTATCTGTGTTTCATTGACTATGCAAAGGCATTTGACTGTGTAGATCATAACAAACTATGGCTGACTCTGAGAAGAATGGGAATCCCAGAACACTTGATCATTCTAATGCGAAACTTATACTTGGACCAGGAGGCAGTCGTCAGAACAGAGCAAGGGAACACTGCATGGTTCAAAATTGGGATGGGCGTACGCCGGGGATGCATCCTATCTCCATACCTTTTCAACCTATATGCAGAGCAGATTATCCAGGAAGCTGGGCTCTATGAGGAGAAATGTGGGGTCAAGATTGGTGGACGATTTCCTGCATTATGCGGATGACACAACCCTGCTTGCTGAAACTGAAGAGGACCTGAAGCGCCTGCTGCAGAGTGTCAAGGACTGCAGAGTGTCAAGGACTGCAGCCTACAATATGGATTGAGGCTCAATGTCAAGAAGACAAAGACTCTCACCATCAGGATGGATGGTGAAGAGATTGAGATTGTACACAGCTTTAGTTTGCTTGGCTCCATAGTCAACAGTCTTGGCACCAGCAGCCAGGAAATTAAAAGGCGCATTGCCATGGGAAAGTCTGCTGTTAGGGACCTCTCCAAAGTACTCAAGAGCAATGGTGTCTCTCTGGAGACTAAGGTGCATCTGATAGAGGCTATGGTCTTTGCAATGACTTGTTGTGCATCAGAAAGTTGGACAGTGACCAAGGAGGATAGAAGTAGAATTGATGCCTTTGAGCTGTGGTGCTGGAGAAGAGTATTGAGAATACCATGGACTGCTAGGAAAACAAACAGATTTGTCCTGGAAAGGGTTAAACCAGGTGGCTTCTTGGAGGCGAGGATTCTGAGGCTCCGTCTAACATACCTTGGACATGTTGTGAGGAGAGACCGGTCCTTGGAGAGGGACATCATGCTTGGGAGGGTGGAGGGACAGTGCAGGAGAGGAAGGCCCTCTATGAGGTGGATTGATTCAGTGACTGGGATAATTGGGATGGGAGTGTCAGAGACAGTGTGGTTGGCACAGGACGGAGTGGAGTTTAGGGCTGTTGTATATAGGGTCGCTATGAGTCGCAAGTGACTAGACGGCACTTAACAACAACAGGTGCTGGGGGAACCCACAATGGGATATTCAAATGTGTTTCTGTCATAGAATAATAGGAAATCAGGGATGGTGACAGGTTCTTTTATCCCTAGGCTCAAGCTCAGTAACTTGATTTTCAGATAGAGCAAAGAAAAGTTTTTGGCACATATATGCCCCAGTTTGGAGGAAGACGTGTCAGGCCAGAAGGTGTGTGCCTATAAACTGTCAAGAAATGTACTTTCACAATTCTCTGTCTTCTAAATTTCACAATAAAAGTGTTTTATTTATTTTTTTTAAGCTGTAGTCAGTATATATGTAACAAAATACTTATATTTCAACATAATTACATCTACCACTCTGTGGCATTAATTTATATTTACTATGTTGTTCAGTCATCACTGCCAACTATTTCAAATTTGTTTCAACACCTTTAACAGAAGTTAGATGTCCCTTAAGTCTTCTTCTCTTCATCTTTTTCCTAACCCAGCCCCTACTAGCCACTAGCAAACTTTTATCTCTATATATTTGCATAGTCTAGACAGTTTATATAAACATAATTACATAACTTATATAGTAGTTGTCCTTTTGTGAATGAATTATTTCACTTATAATACCTTTTTTGGAGCTCTAACAGAGCATCTGTGAGGAACTGTTCAATGGTGGTGACTCTCTGGTAGTTCAAATCCACCAGGGGTGCTGACAAAGAAGGATGGTCAGTCTCCTCCAATGCAACTTACTGTTTCAGAAAACCCACTGGAGGGTCAGGTATGAGTTGGTTCTGATTTGCTAAAGATGAATTTAAGTGCATCTTTTCCAGGCTCATGTATGTTGTATGTACCAAAAGTTTAACTCTCTTTATGCTTAAGTAAAATTCCACAATATGTGTTGTTGTTATGCACCATCGAGTTGCTTGCGACTCATAGTGACCCTAGGTACAAGAGTTCTATACACTCTTCTATCCTGTGCCAACCTAGCCATCTCAAATGCACTTATTCCCACCTCTCTAGTCACAGAATTGATCCATTTCATCAAAGGTCTTCCTCTCCTTTGCCGCCCCTCCACTCTGCCAAACATGATGTCCCTCTCCAAGGACCAATCCCTCCTTGCAACATGTCCAAAATATGTCAGACGAACAAACCTGTTTGTTCTTCTAGCAGTCCATGGTATATTCAACACTCTTCCCTAGCACCACAGCTCAAAGGCATCAATTCTCTTTCTA